TAAAATCAAAAAAATTTTTTTTTTTTTAAGGGAGTGACGAAAAAAAATTTTTTTTTTAAAGGAGAGTGATGAAAAAGAAAAATTTTTAAAGTGAGGTACGAAAAAAAAAATTTTTTTTTTAAAAAGGGGGTGACAAAAAAAGAAGAAAAATTTAGAAAAAAATAACAAAAATAAGACAAGAGAAAAGAGAAGAAAAGGAAAGACAGAAAGGAAGATCGGAAGATCAAACTCATCAAAGTAAGAGTTTATATAAAAAACAAAAAATGTATCATAACAAAACAATAAACAATCATGTGATCTCATGTTATGATACGAGATTTTTGTAAAATTATTTTCTAAAAATATTAAGTTTAAAAATTCCGTATACATTCCGTATGATTGATTTTTTTTGTATACATTAGTTTTTTTAAAAAATGATCAAAAATGAATTGCTTATTAAATATATTGAATTTGTATATGGAATTTATAGAAACGTATATAAAATGTATACAAAACATATCCTTTCCGTATACATATTTCTTATAGGGCATACGACGCATTCCTATACTAAATTAAACGAAGAACTAACTAACACCAACTCAAACAGACCTATACTAAATACAGCCAACACACATTAACCATCCTACAAAATTAAAAATTAGTCTACAAACTAGTTTAAACTTCCCCAAAAGAATCCCGCTAGGTGACAGATTACTCCTTATGTCACAGTATTGATCTTCTCTAGTGGCTTTATACACTCTTTGGCGCAGATCCACCACCTTTAGTAACCGCCCTACTGAACGAAGATGCTGGCTGTATAGAGAAATCCTTCCAAAGATTTATCCAGATAGATCTTCTTCCCCATAGTTTGCATCCACTCACGGATTTCCAGGTTTATCGTCAACCTTTTAAAATATTACAGCTCGTCCGGTTTTCCAGCAGGCTCACCGCTAACCTATAATACAACTATTCTTACAAAGAAACCTTATATTTTAATCTCAAAAATTTTTTACGTGAAATCACGTGACTTGAGAAAAATTATCGATCTCATCCTCTACTTAATCTCCACATACGTAACTTGCTGCGGTGTTATATTTATGCCAGCAAATTTATTTCACAACAATCACCTTATCGATACCCATTCTAACTGGTTCCTCAGAAATCCTCCTAATCCATTTTGAGATTCCAGCCGCTAAAAATTTTTTTTGAAAAATTCCCAAGAGACCCCAAAGTCCAAAGTGCTCTTATCATGTACTATCATATGTCATCTGAAAAGTACGTTTTCTTTGTTTTCTCGGCGTTTCTATTATAACATTCTATCAACACTTTATGGAGCAAACACCTCGCCCTACTTGGCCCTTTTTTGGGTTGCTGACAGGAAGAAATAATACAGTGTGTTGCAAAAAAAACCGGAATTTTATTCACATGACATAAATCGGACTTACGTACCCAATTTGTATCCGATTTGGAAAATCTAAAATGGAAAATCGACATGACGATCATGACCATAAATCCCGACCTAATTCGTAAATAATATATTTATGTTTTTCCGAGCTACTGCGCTGCAAAATGACAGTTTCAAAGAAAGAAAGGCAGCGACAAACAATTTTACAATTGTGGAGTGAGGGTATGCGTAAAGGGACTGAAATACACAAGATTACACGCATCCCACTCTCCACTATATATGATAATATTAAAAAGTTAAAAGAGGATAACATAGTAAACTGAAAAAAGGGAAGTGGTCTCCCAAGGAAAATTACCGGCAAATTTTCCAGGTCCCTTGGACAAAGTATCCGAAGAGATACATCAGTTCCAACGAGGACTTTGGCCAAAAAATTGGGCCAAATGGGCCTTGAAGTATCCCACTCGACAGTTTCAAGGCACTTAACTGTCCATGGCTATAAAAAATCACTTCCAAGGGCGACCCCAATGCTTACTGCTGTGCATAAGCAAAAACGTATCGAATGGGCGCAGCAGCACATTAATGATAATTGGAACACAACACTTTTTTCGGATGAAATGGCCTTCCAACTCTTCTTGAACACTGTGAAGCGTTGGCATAAGAAAATTCTGCCAATACGCCCCATGCCAAAAGACAGAACAAAGATTTTTTCATGTGGCGGATTTTGCGTAATGGGCAAAACAAGTTTGTTTTGCTTCCGTCGAATAATGAATGCCGAATTTTATGTTGAGATCCTTGAAAATCATATTCCGGAGATTGATGCAATGCTCGGTGATGATTGGCGGCTCCAGCAAGACAATGACCCGAAGCATACTAGCCGTCTTGCTAAAGAATTCCTCCAAAACAATGTCCCGGAAGTCATGGATTGGCCCTCAAATAGTCCTGACTTAAATCCGATAGAAAATTTATGGGCTATTGTTAAGGGGAATGTGGAGCGCCGAATGCCAAAAAATCTCAATGAATTGGAGAGTTTTATGGCAGAGGAATGGTCGGCAATTCCGGATACCGTGATAAAGAATCTCGCCGGTTCAATGAAACGACGTTGCGAGCTAATTATCGAAAATAATGGAGAACGAATCTCCTATTAAATTATATTAATAGAAAGAGCTGGTTACTAGCTCTTAAATAAAAAAAAATTTACTATGTTTTTATATTCTCAATGTGAAGTTATGGCCGTTTACTTTATTCCAGTTTTTTTTGCAACACACTGTATTTGTGAGCAAGAAAATTGAAAACTACTAAGCAGGACCCAATAAACTTATATAAAGCAAAATGTTCGTAAAGGAGTAAGTAAACAGTTGGTGATGGTGAAATGCGTCTAAAAACAAATTTTCATATCTTCCACCTTTTTTTTGTTCTGAAGTTTTTGGACATGATAATTGGCGAAGAGAGTTCCCCTCTAGTATAATCAATCTACTTTTAATATAACACAATTACATTATATATTAGTATATACAATTATACTTTATTATACTTTATACTATGCCATCACACAATATATATATGTCACGTGTTATCATATGGGCCGATTCATTTCATTAATTAATGATCAGGTGATATAATTAGTGTTCCGAAAGGGTCGGGTCAGACCCGGGTTGTTTGACCCGACTCGTGTTTAAATTCCGAATCGGGTTTTTATTTATTTGACACGAGTCATAGATTTGATTCAACCCGTCGAGTCAGGGTCATACCTTTGCTTGACCCGGGTTGACCCGGGTTAACCCGGGTTTTAATAAGATGATTAGATGATCTTCGATATATATACTGTATTTATGTTACGCGATCTACTACGCGATCTACTACGCGATCTAACTTCATTTGTATTATTTGTATTAAAAAAATGAGTGAAGCTGAAAAAACCTCTCTTGGGAAGCGAAATTATTTAAGAAGTGAACTTTTTACTAGAGAACTTTTTAAAGAAAACGACCTCCCATCACAGCATAAAAATGCAAAAACTCACCGGGAAGTTAAGTGTTTGAACTGTCCGTAAGTATTTTTTTAAAAAAGAATAAAATTTTTTTATACTGTATATAAGTATTTTATAAAGTTAAATAGTATAAATATGTGCTAACATTTTATCTTTCTTAACATTTTAGAAATAAAACATGGCTTCGCAAGATAGGAGACTCTAATACATCAAATCTTTGGCGTCATTTAGAGCGTAATCATCCAGATAAAAATCCAAAAAAAGCAAAGAATTTGATAATAGAAAGCCAAAGTACATTAGATGAATTTGTAGGCCATACAACTTTTCCATCTAAAGTAAGTTAATATATAAGCAGTAAAATATATAAATTATTTTTATAATATTTACATCTTTCATTTTAAGTTTACACAAAAAGATTTTCGTTGGTTCATTTCCAAATGGGTAATTGATGATGATCAGCCGTTCACAACACTAGAAAATAAATACTTTCGACAGATGATAAAGGTGTTAAATTCAGATGCACTTGTTCTGTCAGCAGATACAATAAAAAATGATATATTAGAAAGTTTCAATGTGGAACAAAAAAAAATGAAGGAATTATTTCAGGTAATTTTAAACATACGCGTAAATGATTTTTAATAAATCAAATTATTTAATTATTTAATTATTTAATAGGGTGTACCAGGAAGAATTTCATTTGCTTTAGATTCATGGACATCAATGAATGGCTATGCCTTTTTAGCTATTACAACACACTGGATTACAAAAGATTGGAGACTTCAGGATAAATTACTGGATTTTATAGATCTTTCCGGTCCTCATTCTGGCGAGAACCTCTGTAATGCTTTTGTAAAAAGTTGTCATGAATTCGGAATTTTAGCAAAGGTAAATATATAATTTGTATAATATTTATATCATATGAACTTAGATCTCATAAAATCATTGTAACTTTAATAGGTTTTTGCAGTTACAAGCGATAATGCATCGAATAATATCACTTTTATGAAACATTTAGAAGATGTTTGTCACAAAGAAAATATTTTTTTTAATGCTATCAATTCTCATTGTCGATGCCTTGCTCATATTATAAATTTAGTTGTACAAGAAATCTTAAAGCAATTAAAAGCTGGTGAAGCGCAAACTGAGGATGACATCATGAATAATATGGATGCAACTATAAATGCTGGAGAAATAATTCCAAAAGTTAGTTGATTTATTGATTATTTTTAAATTTTTCAATTGTTATAATATTAATTTTATACTATAATTATAGCTTCGTAGACTTGTAGTAAAAATAAGACTTTCACCACAACGCCAAGAAAGATTTGTGCGCCACTCCGAAGCTGCTAATCTTAAGGATCTTAAACTCATTTTAGATGTGAAAACACGGTGGAATTCCACCTTTGACATGCTTAACCGTGCATTTGAAATGCGTGAGGTTAGAGTATTTATTAAATACAATTGCTTTTTTATTTATATTTAAAATAATAATATTATTTTTATATTTAGGCAATAGATGCAATGGTAAATTCAGATAGAGATCTTAGAAGTTTTGAAATTACTGATGATGAATGGAATAAAATCAAAGAGATTATTTCTGTTTTAAAGGTAAGTAAATTGTAATATTTATTTAACCTTTATGATTGATTAAAATTTTTTTTTTTATTTATATTAAAATAGATATTCGTACAGACTACTAAAATACTTTCATCTGCAAAATATCCTATGCTTTCTTCTGCTATACCAATATATAATTATTTAATGGATGGACTTGAAACATATTGTGAAAATTTTGATAGCTCTGGTGATATGGTAATTGCTGTTAAAGCAGGATTAGAGAAACTTGAGATTTATTATGAAAAAACTGATGATACTACTATGTATACAATTGCTACTGGTAAGTTAAATATAAAAAAATATAATTTTATTATAAATCTGACTAATATTTATCACATTAACAATTATATAGTGCTTGATCCACGGTTTAAGCTGGGCTATTATGAAGATAATAAGTGGAAGCAAAGTTTTATTCGTTACGCAAAAGAAACAGTTCTAAATGCTTACAATAATAATTATGCACCTGTTACAAATGTAGAGGTTAATGATAATAATGACGAAGATAATGAATTTTTAGATCATATTTTTGGCAAAAAGCAAAATCTTCAGCAAAATGAAGTGGAATTATACCTAAAAACTCCTCGAGCAGATCGAAATCAAGATGTTCTACTTTGGTGGATGGTAATTATTTAATAGTAACAATTAATATAAATTATTAGTTTAGTTTTACTAATTTAATTACTATAAACATACGTAGTTGAATGAAGTAGAGTATCCGCACCTAGCAATAATGGCAAGGGATTATCTCGCAATTACAGGTAAAGACATTTAACAATTTTTAGTATTACTAATTACTAGCTAATAAAATGATTTTAATTTAGCTACAAGTGTTCCAGTAGAACGGATCTTTTCTGGTGGCACGGATTTAATTACGGCTAAAAGAAGTAATCTCAAAACTAATACAATCCGTGCATGTATGTGTTTGAAGTCTTGGTGGGCGTAAGATATGGAAAGAATGATTTAATAATGAGAATTAGAATTTTAGAATTTTATACTTTATCAATAAAAATATGAAATCTTTCTTGTAAAATTGTGCGATCTACATGTTACTATTATTGTCTTGCTGATCATAAACAAATTCGTTTTGAAGATCTGAAAAATTTATCTGACCCGGGTTATCCGGGAGTTAAGCTATATCGGGTCGGGTCAGGAATCGAGTTACATAAATTTTAACCCGAATATTTATCGAGTTTGATTTTTATACTCGGGTCAAGTTCAAATACATTATCAAACCCGACCCGACTCGACCCTTTCGGAACACTAGATATAATTGAGGAATATATATATGAAATTTGTGATGATCTGCAAATAAAATAAGCTTTCTACAAAAAACAATATGGTGGGGAATCGTCAGGGAATCATTTTCCTATTGGATGTTGTAAATATATGACATGTTAAAGTTAGTATAATGTGCTCTATTTTTATAACATTATTTGCACATTATTACGTTTATTAAGGCATTTTAAACAGCAGTTTATGCTGTAAAACTTTTTTTAAATATATTAATAGGTTTATTTTTATTTTTTA